ACCTCTCAACTCACTCGTACAGTTAACCCTGTTGCTGACTCACCACACTGAAAGAAAAACATCCATTTATGAAAGCTAACTAAATGTTAACAGCCTTTTCACACTTTCCTACAACTTTTGTCACTCGTTTTAGAAAGTAAAAACCATAGCTTCATTAGAGAAATATTTCAAGAAATTTTGATTATGCCCAGGGGTGTAATGTAACAAATTAAAAATAATTAGTTATTGAGTAGTTACTGTATACCTTTACTTAAGTACATTTCTAGTTCTGTATATGCACTTTTACTGCACTATGTCTTCAACCTGCCTTAACTACTTTATTATTATTTTGCTATTTTTTCTACAGCGATTGGCACCTATCCTGTGCAATCAAACTGTGTAAAAAGAAACAATTCCCCCCCCTCAAAATGAGAGCGTTTTCGACAGACGCTTAAGACCATGCTTCGAAGATTCTGTCTTGACTCCTCACGTGATTGGGATGAGAGAGTCCTACTGATGCTCTTCTCCGTAAGGAAGACTGTTCAGGAGTTATTGACACTCTGGATCGCTCACAAAAAAAGAGAGTGTGTCATATTAATATGTTGAAAGCATACAATTCGAGGTCCACTGATGCGACTGACGTAAAGGAGAAATCAACTCTTGTGTGTACTTCAGTACCAACCACCACTGTCGAAGAAAGCTTCCTGGAAGATGAGGACGGCTTGTCTATTGGCCATCTTCCATTTCAGAATTTGAAGTTGTCGAATTGTGATGTGTAAAGGGATTTAGATGCACACTCGAGTACTCCTCAGAAAACTGATGTTTCAAACTTAAATTGTAGAGTTTAAAAATCTATTTCAAGATGTTCCCACTTTGACCAATGTCTTGTGCCTTGACATTGTGGTGAACGATGTAGCAAGCAACATGCATATCGTGTTAACTAGGTGAAACGAAAAATCATGAAGGAAGAGGTTGCCTACTTGGTTGAGCATGGCTTTCCAAAGCCTAGTGTTAGTCCGTGGAGTTCGCCGTGCTTAATGGTGAGCAAAGCTGACGGTTCTTACAGGCTCTCACAGATTATCGCAAAGTGAACGCACTAACAGTGCCCGATAGTTATCTGGACAGTATAGGATCTTCCCGCTATGTAACAAAACTTGATATGCTCAAAGGCTATTGGCAAGTCCCACTTTCTGCCCGAGCGTCTGATATATCTGCTTTTGTGACACCTGACAACTTCCTGCAGTACAATTCTATGGCTTTTGGTCTTCGTAATGCACCTGTGACTTTCCAGCTTTTAATCAACATTGTGCTGATGAACGTACCCAACTGTAGTGCATACCTGGATGACCTTGGGATTTATGCATCCGATTGTGAGGAACACATGTCTGTCTTGAGAACTGTTTTTGAGCGCCTTGCTCAAGCTTCCCTTACCCTGAATCTCGCTAAGTGTGAGTTTGGTCAAGCCACTATTGTGTACTTAGGGAAAGTGGTTGGTTTGAATTCTTTCCTGTTCAGGCCAAAGTCTCTGCCATTAGTGAGTACCCAGCACCCAAAAAACGCAGAGAGTTACGGCGTTTTCTGGGTATGGCAGGGTACTACCGAAATTTTTGTGAGAATTTTTTAACAGTTGTACACCCTCTTACATCTTTTTTAAGTCCCTCTGTAGATTTTGTGTGGTGAATAGAGTGCCAAAAAGCATTTGATGACGTCAAGCATTTATTTTGTCATGCTCCAGTTTTGATGGCACCTGACTTTAGCTCTAGTTTTAAACGTGAAGTTGATCCCAGCGGTTTTGGTGCTGGGGTGGTATTGTTGCAGGAAGATAAGCATGGAAAAGACCATCCAGTCTGTTGTTTCTCTCGCAAATTCAACAAACATCAGTTGAGCTACTCCACTATTGAAAAGAAGTGGAGTATGGAACCAATTCTTGGCTTACAGTACTTTGAGGTTTACCTTGGGTGACTGTGTTTACGGATCTGCTTTGTTGACCCAGCAGTTAAATTTGGTTATTCAGCCCTTTCCCGTGCTTAATTTTTTTAATTCAGATTTTAAGGGAGGAGTGTTACGGCCTGAGAGATGCCGTTTATTTATTTTTTACATTAGTTATTGTGTGTTTTCTCTCTCTCTTCTATCTTTGTCCGGTGCTTTTTCTTTTGCAGGTTCTGGTCCAGTTGATGAGAGTCGCCTGTGACTCATTAGGTCATCACCCTGGAAGGAGGTTCCTGATGTCCATGAACCAATCAGGATCCATCTGCTCCCCATATTATCTGGTTTGCTCTGTGGTGCAGCGGGTCCACTGGGCTGTGGCAGCGTGACTTCTTGTTGGTTTGAGGGGCTTTGTCATTGATCCACCAGCTGATCACTCATCTTCGTTTTGGGGCCTGGTTGTGTCTCTGGCAGCGGCTGGGCTTTCCCGAGAGCCCGACTTCAGACACTGCTGTGGGACACATAGTGAAATACATGTCTCTGTTTTATTTTCCCCTTGACTTTTGTTTTTGGATTACGAAGCCGTGATTATGTTGTTTTATTTTTATGTTAGGGTGCAAGGCGGTAGGGGAATGAAGTACCTTCCCCCATGCTAGTTTAGTTTATTTAGGGTAGGTTTTTGTGTGTCTCTGGCTTCTTTTGTATATTATTGTAAATAAATATCCTTTGCTGCGCTCCAATGCTTTTTTTTTTTCATTGTAAAATTTAATCAATAATTTCATTTAACAAACTTATTTGTTACACCCTCACCCCTAGCCTCTATAACAATGCCTTTTAAAGTTAAGAAATGATCAAATATGCGCTCATAGCTCATAGTTTAGAGGAAACAGAGAAAATATTCATAGCACTAGTTTAGAGGAAACAGAGCTTCATCTAAATGAAAGTACAAGAAAAAAAATAATAATTACCCAAATTAATGATCCTGAATACAAGATGTCCACTAAAAGCTCAAGTAAACTCCAACAAATACGATTATTAATGCAACGCTCTTTTTTCCATTTTTAACTAGTGTTTCTTGAAGAAGAGTTCAACCTGAGTGACAGTTAATTAGCCATCTGTGGCTTCACTGGAGTTTGAAAAGTCGATGACAGCTTCTGTCTGCGTGATAAACAGCATGAATTGGAGGCAGCAGAGGATGCCAGCCACACCGCACTCATCTATTATACTCACAATTAACACACTTAATTAATGAGAAAGATCTTGGTATTAGATCCGTATGTGACTGCTGCTGTGTAACAACATTTGCTGTTAAAACTAATTAAGCAATAAGAGCTGAATGCAAAGTGGTGTGACTCAGAATGCATTTGTCACAAATGAGCGTGGTGCTGGGATGTGATAATGTCTCAGCTGCCTCGCCAGTCATGCATCATGGATGCAACAGCGAAATGTCCAAAACATCAAGAAATCTAAAATGCACAACGCTTTAAGCATCACTTGTCTTTTTTTCACCCATGACTCAAACACACAATGCGTTCTCCACAGGAAGCACCGGTTCACTGAAACAACTACTTTACACCAACAGTACTCAATTCACATTTCTGTTGTGCAATCATTTCTCCCAGCCCTATATAGTGAATATAATCATGAAGCCATCAGCAAGTGCTACTTTAACGACATCCTGTAAAATAGTGTCTTCAGCATGTGGTATTTAACAAGCGTTAACACCCACCCTTTACCCTTTCAATCCAGGTTTGCCTTCTTGATTAGTTTGGACTGAATCTTCACAGAGGTAAACCTATAAAAGAGGAAAACTATTAAAAGGCTCAGAGTTACAAGGTGCCTTTCAAAGTTGTAATATGATAGATGAGAATGCTTGACAAGCTGCAGTCTAGTATTTGAGGGCTTAGGATGTGTTATTTGAAGAGCCCAGAGCAGGATTTAGACTAGACCTAACCAGAGCTTTACCCAGGCTTACTTCTAATCCTTCTTGCACAGTACCACTTGGAGCCCTTTACCCCCTTTTCCAGCAACTAAACTTGGTGTCTGTTCTGGTCCAGCTGAACACTGCACAAATCAACCACATGCTTTGCAAATACTAAGTAACGATTGAAGCCATTATGCAAAAACAACATTTATGAACAATGGGTCAATTTCAGAGCTGTTTGTATTGTTGTTATTTTTTGGGAGTTTACTTTTCACTCACTCCAGAAGTATAACAAAACAACAAACGATTCTAAATGAAAAAAAAAAAAAGAATTGTAAAAATACCATATTTTACTGCCAAACCAGTCAGGTTTACTAGGTGTGTCGCCTTAATCTTTGGCATAAATCAGTAAGTGTTCGTATTGGCTGATCATTTTGACTATGACTTTAATATTTTGAAACAGCAGCCAGCTGTTTTAATATACCCTAAATAACATATGGATCATGTGTTTGAAAAACAGCTGATTGCAAACGTTTGACGGCGACGCGTTTCCTCATTAAAACAGCCGCAGCACACAGAGAAAGCCGTAATTTTTTTTCTATTAGTGTTCGAGAAGCCCAAAGATCCCTTTTCAAGAAAAGAGGTGAGCAAAGCTGGTCATCTCCATGCTATTGCTTGTTGGTACCTGCTACAGCTGGCACAGACCTGGTCAAAACTGTGCTGAATTCCAGTTGGTCATCTGCAAAATGCTGATCAAACACCTCAGATGGGTGAAATAACACTAGAAAAAGCCTGGGTTGATTTTTTAATTGTGATAAAGCTGCAGTCTTAACTCATTGAAGAGAGAGAGCATGGAACGTCTGCATTTGTTTTGTTATTTGAGGTGTCATCAGTTTTAGAAACTGGTTGCCAAATATATATTTATATATTTACCAAATATAAACATTTGGTTCTCTTTGAACATTTATTTTTATTTAGTCCTGTTATATGAATTTATTTTATTTTTTCAAAGCTGATGGCATCTAGTATAACAAAGCAAATGTTTAAAATGCAGACATTACTCCACAAAAGGAAAGCTTATTGGACAATCCTGCAAAAACTCTTTGATAAAAAGGCTCAAGAGTTTATCAGAATTCAGCATTACTGTAAATGTTTTATAGTTAAACTCATAGGCTGTGGCTCAGTCAGTAGAGGGTTGTGCTAGCAACACAAGGGCGGGGGTTAAAATCCCAGGGAAAGCCAAAACTGACAAAATGTGTTCATTCCTTGATATAAAAGTTGCTTTGGCTAAAGTGTCTAGCAAATCAGAGCCCAATGGCAGTAGGTGGTGTCATGTCATCCATCTTTTTTTTTACAGTCTATGGCTTTCTCAATGATTCAATGACAAAATGGAACCCAGGTAAGCAATACATTTGTAAGCGAATTACTTATGAATCAAGCAATTAACCAACATGTCTCATGAACTCTCTTGAACCTTACGATTACATTAGTGACATCCTCAGAAAATCACGACAGTTTGAGGACCAGAACAAAAGAAATAATATTAGCATAACTTTAGTTGAACAAGATGAAACTTTCCATTCGTTAATTGCCAGTGGCCTTTGGTTTAAACGTTTAGAGCAAGTGTGTTCCACGTGGCCGGTGGAGTGAAGCCAAACCGTGGTGGGCGCCCCCATGGTGTTGGCTGCAAATGATTTCTGGCTAATGCAATCTATGGAAAAAAGTGGAACTTTACAAATTATTTCCTACAACATTTTCCGTGTGGCTCAGGATGGCTCACTTTACACTTCAAAACTAGGCGGGACCATGTGATTGACAGCTACACAGAACAAAACCACTGTGATGACATCATTAGGATCATATAATTTACAATGCCAACACTCAAATTGAGAGAAGTCGTTCTCAAATTTATGTTATAATTACAAAATAAGTCAGATGGCTTTATATTAGCCCAATGGCAGTAGGCGGAGTCACGTCGTCCATATTTTTGTACAGTCTATGGTTTAAAGAAACTGAGAGAAAGCCATTACACCACTAATAGTTGCTTGTTGCTAACTGGAAATATCAGAACATTTTTAGTATAGAGTGGTACCCTGAGATACAAAATTAATCCGTTCCAGGGTGGCTTTCGTATCTCCAAACAAGTTTTACATGTAAAACGCCTAATAGTTGATGAAAAATGGAAAACCAGAGAAAAATCAAATAACGTTTCTTCAATCCTTAAATCTACACATTGTTAATGTAATAAATTATAATAAAACAGAATAAAACACAAGTAAAATACGTAATAAGTACACAAATGTGAAACCTTACCTTGAGTGAGGCGATGTGTCGGAGGAGGTGGAATGGAACGGAGGGCATTACGTATGAAAGTTTTCTCAAGATATTTCACGAATTACGAACACTAACACAGTTTCAAGCACAAGCATAGACAGTACCGAGCACACTGGAGAGAGAGCTTCTGAGAATGTGTCACAGGGTTTCTCTAATTTGCACTACAGAACAGCACTTTCCACGTTATAAACGTTATTTCTTTCAGGACACCTTGACTCTAACTTTTGTTATAGCACATTATTGGTAATCAATACATGTTTCACTTGATTTAAAACTGATTTAAAGTGATTTAAAGTGTTTTAAAGAGTATCAGCTGCCTTTAGCATTGTCTGCAATGGGAGAATGGAGCACCAGGACCCAGAAGCGACTTAACAAGTAGATAATAGAGCAGAACTGTTGGTGTTTTTCGTAGTTTGTAATTTTTTTCGTATCTTGAAGCAAAATATTTCCTGCGAGACCTTTCGTATCTCGAATATTTCATGACTTGAAGCATTCGTATCTCGAGGTTTCACTGTATAAGGTAAACTTTAAAACCTTTTTGGGAGACACAACAACGACTAACTCTCTTTAGCTCAAAAATAGCCATGCTTTTCACTTTTATGCACCGTATGCAAGCGAATGAAAATGAGAACAAATGAACCCTGATGACTGTAATAGCTTATCTTCCGAAGAGATTAGGTGTTCACCTTGAACCTTTCCCAAGGCCAAAAGCAACCCCCATTTGAGCAACTACCTGTCAGATGATTTGATTGACTTCAATATGGATGCACCATAAAACACAACTGACCAGCCTTCAAGATAAAATATTCTCAAAGTGATATACGCACAGACATCATTAGCATTGATATGCGGCTCTATCTTCCTATTTCTTGAAAAAAGGTCGAAGAGGGCAGTGAATTAAAGTTTTAGTTTGGGCTAAAGAATAAAAGTCAGCCAGACAAGTGACCATTTTAGCCACCACTTAAATTATCTACAAAAGGTTAAAGCCCTGCAAATATATGTAATTTCCTCAAATCTGAGAATCCTCACAATGTTTATCCATTGACATGGCTAATATAAAAAATATTTGCATACTAATAAACCCAACAAAAATTGTCCATTATAATAACTGCTTTGCTAGCGTTCATGTCTTTGTGTGGTCATAATCACCATCAAAGAGCTAATGGTTGTTGCCATTTTCCTACAGTTGTTTCTAACCATAATCTCAGTCCATTACTCTGCTCCCAAACATCTAGTGTTTGACTTGAAGCCATGAGGAAGGTGAGGGTTAAAGAGGTGCATCATAAATGGCATTATGAAATGAAATGAGATGAGTTTTGGTCATAAATGTATGTCACATGGAGGTCGTGCTGTAATGTAAATAAGCAGATGACATACCGCTATTGAAAGCCTGGGTCAAGACCATGAAATTACCAGCACTGAATGGAAAGTAAATGTGTCGCCACTAAGGTTTAAACCTCCTTTTGGATTGATAACATTATTGCAGCGTTTTAAATGATGCATAAAGATTGCATTTAATATGCTAAAGGTCCAAATCAAAGCAAAAGAAAAGTTACTATTGTCATTAAAGTGGTTAATAAAAGCCTAAATCTATCAATACTGGCATTATTAAAAACAGAAACAAGGTAACTTTTGATTATAACTCACAGAAAAGATAACGAAGTTACTCGCCTCAAACACTTTTTTTTTACATTTTTAATACATCCAGAAAATATAAATTTACTGTAGTGAGAATAAGTTACATTTAATAACAATTCATCGTGTCTGGTTAAACAAAAGAAGAAAAAAAAAACACAAAAAGTAGTAAAAATCTACATATTCTCCATTAAAATAAAACACCAAATGCAGATTTCCCATTAAAAGCAGGAACGCCGTTGTCCTTTTGTTTTGATCTGTCGCCATCATGTGGTCATAAGAGAAACACCAGGTGAATTTAAGTCACTGCTATGATAAAACATGGCATGATGTACAGGCATGTTCACAAGTTTACAAACTCTGGCGAAATTATGAGGATTTGATTCCTCTGCCATTTTTCAGAAAATATGAACGACAATACAAAAAGTTAAAATGGATAAAGCCAATAACAGAAACAGAAGTATAAAACAGAAACTTTCCAAATGACCCTGATCAAAGGTTTACAAAGCCCAGCCCTTAATATTTTGTCTTCCTCCCTGAAGTCTCTTGAGGTAGTTGTCGATGAGGTCCTTTATCTCTGTTGATAAAGCAGCCTTTTGTTCTTGGCAAAGAGCCTCCAACTTTTGTCAATTCTTTCATAAGCTGCATAATTGATTTCTCTGCAGAATGGTTCAATGAGGTCAGAAGACTCAGATAGGCACACCAGAACCAATGACAAGTTAACTTGGCCTTGTGTTTTTGATCATTGTTGTGTTGGAATGTCCAGTAATGTTCCATCTTCTGAGCTGCTGAGTGCAAAAGTTCCTCCAGTTTACTTTGATAACATTCTACATTCATCTTCTCATGAATTTTGACCAAGTATCCTGTGCCTTTGGAGCTCATGCCAATATATATTAACCAAAATTAAATGTAAAACAATTTAGCTCATAAAAAATTATGTTTATTCAATATTCTTGAATGAGAAACACTAATCCAGTTACTTTTTTTGTAAAAACAGAACTGTCTGCATGTGCTGCTTTATCTTCGTAGACCTGACAATAAAAAAAAAAAGGTGACCACTGATTCAAAAAATTACTTGAGGGAATATAACCTTTAATTCAGTGCTGCAAAATAACGTCTGTTGTTATAAGGAAAGAGCTGAGTAATGGCTGTTGCTTTTTAACTTTTGATACAAGATAACATGAGATAACGTAAGATAAAACAAACATGCAATCTCTCCAATAAAGCTCTCTGATAGTGCTAAGTTAATCTTCACAAACTGATGGCAACAGAGCTGGGAAAACAAACTCCTGTGGAATATCCGTCATGTTGCTAGCACTGAGTATTTTCCTGCTCATATTTCCAGCATGTCTCTGTGCTCCAGCCAGAGTCTGCTGCACCACAGGAAGAAATAAATTACTGCTAACTATCTTTGATGGCTTCAGATGGGACTATGACAGAGATGTGGACACTCCGAATCTTGACAAGATGGCAGAAGAGGGAGTTAAAGCAGCGTATGTCACTCCACCGTTTCTTACCATTACCAGTCCAACACACTTTACTCTCTTGTCTGGTGAGGAGAAATTCTTTATTTACTGGATTAAACATACATGTACAAAATGCGAACAAAATTGAGTGAACAATGGACAAAAGAAAAATATAAATCAATATTTGTTTTGCTTCAATGAAGCATCAAACCCAGCATCAAAACAGTCATGAACAGAATCAGAAACAGCAGCATAGGAGTCTTGCAACTGGCCGAGGAGCAACCAAACTCTGCTGCCAAGGCAAGGTTTAGAAAGTATTTAGAAGAAGCTTTAGGTTCTTATTGGTGTCTGTCTTTTTGTTGTGAGTGTGCTTTCCTATGTTTCTCAGCTGCTGCCACTTGATGGGAATCCACCCGCTGCACATTGATTCTAATCAAGCGTCTTCTTAAACCCCTCTGACTTTCTCTTCCCCGTCTGACCATTCAAACCAAAATCTCATTCCATTTCACCCCAATGTTCCAGTCCTGTCTGGTGTTTGCATGTAGTTTTGTGGGTTTCCATATCTCCATGTTTTCTCTGAAATCGGTGGTTGTCTGGAACTGGGAGAATCTCCATGACCCGCATGCACGGCAACCTCTGAGCTTTTACTCCTAAATACAGTTTCCTGTCCTTACTTTCTATCACTGAAAACTGTCACTGAGTGAATATCCAAGCCTCCAGACCACTTTCTGTGACCGATCTTGTCCATCTTTATGTGAATATTCAAGCTGCCAGGTCTCTGAATTCTATGAGTATCGAATGAAGCAT